AACAGCCTCAGTTGGCCCAATTCCCTCCTACCCACCCCAGTCCATCCTAACACCCGGTCCAGCCCCTCTCTTTGATTAAAATAATACCGTTTTACCATATTAAATCACAGCCCTCAATTTCTTTTGATCTGACGGTTCGCAACTTCCCCCATCTCCCTTTTAACTGTCCGAAACCCACCCCCACAAGCCCCAAAGATCTTTCACTTCTCTCATCTCTCATCTCTTTATCCTAAACCCTAGCCGCCCTAGGATTCCCAAACCTCACTCGCATGCGGCCGCCACCAAACAACCCTAAATCTTCACCCCATAATCCCCACACTCCTCTCATCACCAATCTACCTTCAATTCTCTTCAATCCCCACTAGAAATCCCTGGGTTTCAAATCTCAGTAACCCTAGAAACTCAGCTTTTCCCTTTTCTGATTTCTTTGATAAATTCAACCCGTTTTGACCTAAAACTTACATTGGTCGATTGTTCTTAACAAGAAAGATTGATTAATGTTGGTTTTGGCTCATTTCTAAGCCACTGGAGTCCGGCCAACCAGTCGTAGTTCTAAATTTTCACACTTTTTAAGGTAATCATCTTCTTTCTCATTAGTTTAAATTAGCTGTTGTTTTTTACATTTAGGATTAGCTACTGTTTTAATGCTTCTTTATCTAGTTTATTAGTTATTTGCATGATTATTTAGTCCGATATTGTTAATTAACTCAATTGCTTCAAGTATAACCAATTAATGGTTGAATAGCTAGGTTTTCACATTAATATTTTGTTTAAGATCAGTATGCTCCTTTTTGTGTGGTTATGTGTAGTAATTAGAATTTCAGGGGTCTAAAAGAAATAGAAAAATAAGGGAATTTGTCTGTTTGTATGTTTAAAAGGTTTTAAAACAGGATAAAAGATTTGGAAATACATTAAAATGGGGGAATTAGTTCAAACTTGGGGTAAAAAGTTAAAATTTCAAAACTTTAAAGGTTTAGGGAGTAAAGAAAATATCTAAAAGGGACAACAGTTAGAAAAGATGTGAAAATAGGACAACTGTTCAATTTAGTTGCCAAAGGATGCTATTTTTCTGAATTTTAGGGAGGGCTGATAAATTTTCTTCTAGAACCTCCCTTATTTCTATCTTGATATACTCCTACACTCTATATAATAGGAGGATTTCTCTGCAGACAGGAGGGGAACACGAAAAATTCTCTGAAATTCAGAATTCCTCCTTTCATTCTCTCACTGATTTTTTTACACCGATCTCTGAAAATTCACTGTCCTCCACTTTCATTTTTAATAAAGAAAATTTATGGAAAACCAACATTGGGATTTCAGAAATGACAAAAAAAAAAAGAACCAAAGATTTTCTTTAGCTCGCTTCATTATCGGATAGCTGTTTTTTCCAAGTTCTGGTTTGACGTTTGGTTGAGCTTCATTTTCTGCTGTTTGCTACTGTTTTATTGAGCTGTAGCTGACTCTGTTTCTAGCCGTGCTTCTCAAATTCAAAGGCTTATTTTCTTGTTATTGTTTAGGTATGCCCGTTTACCTTTATTGTTTAAATCGAAATCATGAATGAAATTTGAATTGTTTTACTCCCTGTTTTGTTTTTGATAGATTTAGTATAATGCTTGTTTGAGTTTGTTCGAATGTCTACTTCTGTTGATCTCTGAAGTTATTTAGTGTATGAAGTAGAAATTCTGAGTTACTAAGTGTTAGTGAACCTTTCAATATTTGATGTTTCTTGTTGGAAATTTGCTCTCTAGATTGATGTTAACAATATCCTAATTTGTTTGTTATTATTTGACTGTCGTGTGTGATGAGGTGAATCGATAGAAATAGCTCAATGGCTACTTCTCTGTTAAAAAGGGAATTGTTTGAAAAGACTAGAAGACATATGACTCAAGGATATCTACTTTCATGCAAAAGATAATGGGGATATGATTCTGGATTTGAGGTTCCTGTAATTCATAAACTGTCAAATTTCAATGTATAATTAGAATATTTAGTGTTATATTTAACATAGTTTGATAGAGTCATTAGTTGCTTTTGTTTCATTTAAGCCAGGTTGTTAATCTGTTAGCATTCTAATTATTGTATGAGATTTAATTGAATTCACTTTATGAATGATCATGTATTAATCTCTAATTAGCTTTTAATTGCGTACGTTTGGCCATTCGAGATGGGGCTTGTTCTCAATGGCCCAGATCCTATATCAAGCTTTAATGCTTCACTTAGCACCTTGCAGGTGTAATTGGGCCTTGTTTGAAGTGGCCCAGCGCTAGAAAGGTCCCTTTAGACATGCTGGCCTATAGAATGGCCATTATATAAAGTTGATGCTTTGGGCTTGAATGCCAGCCCATCTTTATTCACTTGGGCCTTCTGAGGCAGACCTTTAATGTAACGGCCAACACTTTTTAGGTATCCCTAATTGTCCATCGTTTGTTTTAGCCTAATACCCTTTTTCAAAGCACGATTTCTATCAAACTTAAAGTCATAAAAGAGGCATAGTGTATCCAACCCTAGTCATTTCAATTTTCTTAGACAATTTCATAACAAGATGGATTCCATGAATTCTGGACAGTTCGTGCCTAATCTCAAAACTTTAGGAAAAGTTAATCATTCCTTGAACATCATAGAAATGCTTTTAGGTGCGTTTTAAAATTATTATCATGATTATGTACACGTTCGCGTGACATAATTATGATTTCTAAATATAAATCAAAGTACGCGTTCGCGCGACTTTGGCCAAATAATTTTAATATTAATAAAGCGTGATTAATTATGTACACGTACGCGTGACATGATTTTAGCGCCTCAAATAAAACGGATATACACACATGTGATCCGTTTCAAAGATTAATCCATAAATGCCATAATCAAAAGTGATAAAAGTAAAATCGCATAATGGTTCTAAAACACGTAATTAAACAAATAAGCCAGGTATGATTAAAGCGACCGTGCTAAAATTATGAAATTCGGGAATGCCTAACACCTTCTCCCGGATTAACAGAATTCCTTACCTGGTCTTCTGTAATCGCGGACCTTAAAATAAAGTCAAATTTCCTCGATTTGGGTTTTTAAAATAAACCGGTGACTTAAGACATTATAATAATTATTCCAAGTGGTGATTCTAATTAAATAAATAATCCCATTTTAAACAATGTCACTTTAATTGGAAAAACTCCCTTATCCCTATCCCTCGGGAAAAAGGAGGTGTGACAGTCACTACTCATCTTGATCATTCTATCAAGCTCACTTTTGATATGGGGGAGCCTCTATCTGATCGCAAAATTTACAGAAGGATTGTGGGCAAGTTCAATTTCTTATATCATACCAGGCCTGGCATTGCTTACTCAGTCCAACATCTTAATCAGTTTTTTCAAGCTCCTCAAATTCCTCACATACTAGCTACCATACATGTCTTGAGGTATGTGATGAATGCTCCTAATTTGGGATTTTCCTCCCTAAGTCCTCTGGCTTTTCTTTTTTAGCTTATTATGATTCTGATTGGGCCACTTGTGCCCAGGCTCGAAGGTCTATTAATAGGTATTAAATTACATTAGGGGGCTATCCCATTTCTTGGAAAAGCAAGAAACAACCTACCATTTCTCTCTCAACTGCTAAGGTAGGATATAGAGATTGCGCATGGTGGTTGTTGAGATCCCTTAGCTTGTTCGACTTCTGGCTGATCTTGGGTTGATTATTTCCAGCCTTGTTCCTGTATATTGTGATAGCCAAGCTGCCTTGCATATTGTGAAGAACCCAATTTTTCATGAGCGTACTAAACACATCGGAGTTGATTGCCACTATGTACGGGATAACTTACAATCTGGTCTCATCACTTTGCATCATGTTTCATTTTCTGCTCATTTTGCTGGCATTTTAATTAAGTCTCTTCTAGGTAACACTCATCATCATCTTCTTGGCAAGCTTGGGGTGTCAACACCCTCAAGCTTGAATGGGGGTATTGAGTTGATGGAGCTCACACGAAGAGGCCTAATAGTTAATAGTAGTATTAGGCCCAATATGTACAACTAACCCATTCTCACTTACTTGTATTAGGTCAATTCATTATAGGATATTCTTTTATCTTATTTTGTACAGATTTTATAGAAGTAATGAAATAAAAAATTATTCTCTTTTCTCACCTCACCCGATTTAGGGTTCCTTTTTCATTTCATTTTCTCAATTTTTGCAAATGACCAATGTAACAATTATAATGTTTACTTTTTAAAAAAGAGTTTAAGATACATAATTTAACCTCTTACTTTAATAACATTTGTTATGGTGACTTCTTTAAGTAATTAGAAACAGTAACCCGTGATCTGACAAGCCTGGATATATATAATTGTTAGTGAAAACAAAAGATTGATTGCTTGAGAATCTACAATAGTAGATGAGCAAGTTCATTTCAAGTAAAATAATATTTACTCATGATAATTCTACCTTGCGTCCTGATATAAGCGAGAGCTTTAATCAAATACATCCCTACTTAAATATTTTGAAGCATCTACTCTAAATTCATCAAGTATATATAAAAACATTTGATAAGAGGTAAGTATTTAGTAGCTCGATCGTGGATATTTTTTACTTTGAGTCGCTTGTCCAAGTAGGCTAAAACAGAAAAAGAAGAAGAAGATAAACGCTCTAATGTCCATTTTGTATGAAACTTTATCATCTAGGCAATGAAGAAATATCTATTTGATTAAGATCTTCTAATTATATTTAATTATACAAAGTTATGAATCTTAACATATTTTTTTTGCGCGAAAGGTATTTATTTGGTAAAGAATTTGTAAAATAAAGTTTTAACCTTTTCCGCGAAGTTTCAAAAACTACTAAAATTTTGTGCTAGAAATTCTTGCAAGTTCAAGTACTCCTTGGGGCATAGTAGTTATAATAAGGATTCCAGGACAGAATTTGCTTCAAAAAAATTGAATAAAAGTTCAAAAAGAATTTCAATAACTTTTCTTAGGTGAAATTTTATTGTCACACAATTTTTGCAAACCCAATCTTTACAAAAAACTATTTTCTAGTTTTGTGAAACAGATGCCAACTTTAGGGGGCAAACTGCACTATCCGTTTGAGGACATTCTGTAAATTGACGCTCCCCGCGCACGTCTCCCGGGGTTCGAATAAATATTTGTTTCCCTGGAAAATCAAATGGTAGTTTCCACTTCCAGCACCGCCCCTTCCTCAGATTTCAATTGCTTTCGCCGATGAATTACGAGCAGAGACTAATCGCCGCATCGAAGTTCGTCTACGCCGGCTACTCAGCCGACGATTCTCCGCCGGTCAACACTGTTGACTGGGGAGTCAAAGCGACTCTTAAACCTCACCAAATTGAAGGAGTCTCATGGCTCATTCGTAGATACCGTCTAGGCGTCAACGTCATTCTCGGTATTTCTTCTTCTAGAAATTTCATACTCTTATGTGTGCTCCAAAGATGTAAACTTTCAGGAGTAAAATAATAAGACTATCCGAAATTGCACTGATAATTAATGAGTTGAATTTGCCGTGTTTTTGGGACGGAGGGGAGTATTTATATTTTATATTGATTGGCCTAATTTGACATAATTAATGATTTCTCATTTTATTGTTTTTACAGGGGATGAGGTAGAATTGCCAACACTGAAACCAGCATTTAATTTGAAAATAATGATTAATTAAGCAGCAATATTTGTAGTCAATGGATAGCGTCTTGATTTCTTCTATGTATGAATGGTTTATTGGCAGATGGGGCTGGGGAAGACTTTGCAAGCTATATCATTGCTGAGCTATCTGAAATTCTACCTAAAGACTCCTGGACCATTCTGTGAGTGGGGAGACATGTGATTTTTATCTAATAATAAATAGTAGCCGAAACACATCTTAGGTAGACATTCTATGCTTAGATTTTGCAAAATGTTGCAGTGGTGCTCTGTCCTCTTAGTGTGACGGATGGTTGGATGTCTGAAATGGCCAATTTCGCCCCAAAATTAAGAGTGCTATCCTATATTGGAGAAAAGGAGCACCGGCGCAATCTACGTAAGAAAATGTATGAGCATGTGAACAAGAAGGCGTTGTCTGATGTAAGTATTGGGTTCTATTGCACTTAGACAATCAGATTTAATTTTAAGTTGGTTTTTCATATACATTTATATAAGCTATATCTGAACACCTAAAGGCTTGTTGTGACATTACAAGTTATTTTCTCTTCAAGATTGTCAATTTATTAATTTATCTTACCCTGAATTTCTTTATTTCTTACAGGGAGAATCATTATCTTTTGATGTGCTGTTGACTACATACGACATATTATTACTTGATGAAGATTTCCTATCACAGGTTCCATGGAGTTATGCAATAATTGACGAAGCACAAAGGCTCAAAAATCCATCTAGTGTATGTCTGGGATTCTTCTTTCACATAAAATGCAACTTGAGATATCACACCTGATCTTGGTATGAGATAAATATTGACTACTAATGCAGTCACGATGCGTGCTCAAGGTCTACTGAAGTTAATTCCGTATATTACCTTTAAGTTTGAATTAACTAAATGCCCATTTGAGGGTAAATAGATGATATTTCTTCAATATCCTTATTACTTCGAAAACAAAGTTTTCCTCCAGCTTTCCTTGAAATGCAAAGGCATTTATCGAAAACGATTTTGATTAACTTTTTCGTTTGTAGATTTCGATATAATGTAATAGTGCAGTCTTGAAATGTTGAGTGCATTCAACTGCTCTACAGAAAGTAGGACAACGTCTATTTTTCAAAGTTCAGGAGCAAATTTTACGTTTCAATAAACCTTTTCGGGGGTGGGGGATAAGCAACTGTTCTTGATCTTCTCAGACCCTATAACACAAATACCTTATGCTGCGTGTTTGAAATCTTTACAGGTGCTGCATAATGTGCTCAAAGAGCATTTTGTTATGCCAAGGAAATTGCTGATGACCGGCACACCTATACAAAACAACCTTTCAGAGCTTTGGGCTCTGTTGCATTTCTGTATGCCTTCTGTTTTTGGAACACTGGATCAGTTTCTCTATGCATTCAAGGAAGCTGGAGATCCTTCATGTAATACTTAAGCCTGTAATGAGTCATTGGCTTGCTTCTTTTTCCCTTTAAAGATGAATATGAAAATTCTTGGGTACTGCTTATTCTTTTTGCAATTTTGATCATTTCTGGTGTAGTTTGGGACGATTTTTGTGGCTTATATGTAAATCCACACACATTCACCTATAGTGGTGGCAAAATGGTTAAAACAAAATAGTTATCTACCCATATTATCCATTAAAAAAATGGGTTGGATAATGAACTTTTTAAAAACGGATCAAATATGGATAAGAACTATATTATCCACTTAGAAAATGGATAACCAATGGGTTTAACTTTTACATTTGTAAAGCCTCAAATTGGGGGTTCTTCAAGTTTGGGATACTAGGATTTTTACCAAAAATGATCATATTCAAGAAGCCATGGATAATATGGAGATCCATATTATTCGCCGGTTAACCCGTTTTTATTAGTATTAAATATGGGTCGGGTAGGATAATTTTTTCCGTTTTTGCATTACCTGTGTTGACTCGCCTATATCCTATCGACCCGCCCGTTTGCCACCCCTATTCACCTGTATGTATATACTGTACACACTATAGAATTTTATTTTTTTCATATATATATATATATATATATATATATATATATATATATATTCACACACACACATACATATATATTATTTCATCGTGTGGTTTCTGTAGTTTTGTCACTTTATGATACTTTATAGCATTTAGAGCACAATATGCTGATGGCTCCTCTATTTTCTCTGTGACATACTTCTGTAACAATTTGCTATGCTTACTGAAAAAAAAGAGGCCTATGAATTGGGTTGCCAGTGGTTGGGAAGAGGAGAGACTTGCTAGTGACAAGCTCCCTGTGACAGAGTCAGAACATCATTCATTTTCATATATCTGAGAAAAAGTTATTATTCTTCATCTTCCCCCCTATACCCACCAAAAAGACGCAGGGCTCTTCTAAGGATTCGATTGTCCAGTCCTATATTTTGTGGGGTCCATCCCCATGCTGAAAAAGTCCAAGTTGCCAAATTGGACTTGGACCTGGTTGCCAAATTAGGTAGGCGTCAGTAAGGAAAATTTGCAGTGCAAATTTTCAACCAATACTTCATTCTGATTGGTTGAAGAGGTAGGCCATTTCTCCTTTTACAGCTCTCATTTCTACACACCAACAAAGAGAGAAAGAAAGAGTGAGGTTTCACAGACAAGGTATAAGAAAATAGTGTGTGAGAAAAATAGAGAGTGAGCGATATTGTAGTGAGGTGAGAATATCAAAAGAGGGTTATTTCTTTTGAGTGTTGTAGTGGTCTTTGGAGTATTTTACTCGGACCTACAAAGTGTAAAATTCTTTGCTATAGTGATATCAGTTGCTCGTCTCAGGGCCGTGGTTTTTTTCCTTATTCAAAAAGGTTTTCCACGTAAAAATCTTGGTGTCGTTGTCACTATTTTATTCTTGTTAATTACCGTATCTCGGTGCTACTTTATTATTCCGCTTTTATTACCGTGAATATTATTTCTGTAGGGGATTTATTCCCAACAACTGGTATCAGAGCACAGGTTCTGCTCGTTTACAGAAATATTATTCACTGTCGATAGTACTATACTCGGTGAAAAATAAAAATGTCCGGAGTAAAGTACGAGATAGCAAAATTTAATAGAGATAGCTGTTTCTCAACATGGCAAAGAAGGATGAGGGATCTGCTCATCCAACAACGATCACACAATGTACTAGATGATGATGCCAAAAAGCTTGATACCATGAAAGCTGGGGATTTGGCTGACTTGGATGAAAGGGCTGCTAGTGCAATCAGGCTGCACTTATCAGATGATGTGGTAAA